TCTCCTCCTTTATATACGGGGGCGGGGGCACCCCAAAGGCACATCAATTGTCCCTTAGCCGTGTGCGGTGCCCCCCTCCGCAGCTTACCACCTCGGTCATATTGTCGTAGTGCTTAGGTGAAGCCCTACGCGGATCACATCACCAACACCGTCGCCACACCGTCGTGCTGACGGAACTCTCCCTCGACCCTCTACTGGATCAAGAGCTCGAGGGACGTCATCATGTTGAACATGTGCTGAACATGGAGGTGTCATACATTAGGTACTTGGATTGGTTGGATCGTGAAGACGTTCGACTACATCAACCGCGTTAACATAACGCTTCCACTTTCGGTCTACGAGGGTACGTGGACACACTCTTCCCTTCTCGTTGTTATGTATCTCCTAGATAGATCTTGCGTGATCGTAGAATTTTTTTTAAAATTGCATGCTACGTTCCCCAACAGTAGTCAGCGTGGCCCCACCCTCATGCAGAGGGCCGCCGTGGCCCCTCAATGGCCCCACCTCACTTCCATTTTCTTAACTTTACTTATTTAAGATGGCCCTTTAACAATGATGAAAGACTGCCCTAGTACAAAGCATAGTTGAATTAATAATTACATACAATTTAAAGTTTTAAACAGAAATTGTGCATTTTTATATAAGCAAGAATAAGCCTACAAAAATGAAGTTTCCTAAGAAGGAAAGATTAGTGGCATTTGTATTAAGATTAAAGATGAAATAAAAAGGAAAGCAAAAGTTAAAATAATTAAGTTTTTAAGAAAGAATGATTTAGTGACATTGGTATTACCTTTTAAGAAGAAATAAAATGAGAAAAGAAAACTTGCTTCGGTCGAGCCTACCGATAATCAAATGAAGGAAAAGGGTGAGTCGCCTAAAATTCTAATATTGTGGTGGTGTCACCTTCAATAATAAATGAAAAAGATGAAGTTTTCTATGGAAGAGTGAATTTGTAGGACTGGTGGTACCCTTAAAAATAAAGAAAATATAAAAATAAATCAAATAATGAAAAAAAATTGCACGCAAATTACACAGAAATTGCACTTTTTATAATTTGCAAAAATAAGCATATAATAGAGGATTTTTCAAGAAACAAGGTTTCATAAGAAGGAATGAGGTAGTGGCACTAGTATTACCATTAAAGAAGAAAGAAATTGAATTAAAAATAAAAATAAAATCAAAATAATTAAGTTTTCTAAGGAAGAATCAATTAGTGGCATTGGTACTACCATTAAAGGAGACATAAACTAAAAGAAAAAAGAAAATAAAAGAAAAATAATAAAGTTTTGTAAGAAGAATGAATTAGTGGCACTTGGTATTAGCCTTTAAGAAGAAACAAGATGGAAAAATGAAACAAATACTGACAAAATTTGCACACATTTTACACATAAAATACCCCTTTTCTAATATGAAAGAATAAACATGTAATAGTGAATTTAGGAAGAACAAAGTAATTTTTGTAAGAACTAATTAATTAGTGTCATTGATATTATCCTTAAAGAATAAATAAAATAAAAATAAAACAAAATCAAAATAATGAAGTTTTCCAAGAAAGTGTTAATAAGTGACTTTGGTATTAACCTTTAAGAAGAAATACCATGTCAAATAATAAAATGAATAACGAAAAACTTTGCCCACAACTTACACAGAAAATGTGCCTTTTCATAATATGCAAGAATAAGCATACAATAGTGGAATTACACAAAATAACTTTTTTTCTAAGAAGGAATGAATTATTTGCATTCGTATTACCATTAAATAAGAAATAAAATTCAATAAAAACAAAATAAAAATAATGAAGGTTTCTAAAACCAATGAATTGGTTGCTTGGGTATTAACCTTTAAGAAGAAAGAAAATGAAACTACATAAAAATGAAAATATTTTTTAAGAAAGAATGAATTAGTGGCTTTGGCATTACACTTTTAATAAGAAATAAAATAAAATAAAAATTAAACCAAAATCAAAACTATGAGGTAAAAACAAAAAAACAAATAATGAAGGTTTCCAAGAAACAAATAAATTACTGGCTTTGATATTACCCTTTAAGATGAAAGAAAATGAAATAAAAACTAAAACAAAATTAAAATAATGAAGTTTCGAAGAAATAATGAATTGGTGGCTTTGGTATTACCTTTTAAGAAGAAATAAAATGAAATATAAACAAAGAAATTCAAAATAACAAGTTTTTCTAAGAAAGAATGGTTTAGTGGCATTGGTATTACCTTTAACAAGAAAGAAAAATAATCTAAGAAAATTGAAATACTGACATTTTCTAAGAAAGAATGAATTAGTGGCATTGCTATTACCCTTTAAGTAAATAAAATCTAAAAAACAATGACAGAAAGTGTACACAGCACACAAAAATTTTGATTTTTAATACATGCAAGCAGAAACATATGATAGTATATTTTTTTCAAAAAATAAGTTTTCAATGAAGGAATGAATTAGTGGTATTGATATCACCTTAGAAGAAAGGAAAATAAAATAAAACTATAAAATTTAAATAATAAATTTAAATAAGAATGTATTAGTAGCATTGGTATTACCATTTAAAAAGAAATAAAATTTAAAAAACAAGCACACAACTTTGCACTAAAATTGCACATTTTTAATACGCAAAGATTAACCATATAATAATGCAATTTTGACACATATTGTATACTATTTGTGTGCATATATTTACACTCACCCAACATCACAAAACTATCCATGAAATTTAAAGAAACATGTAATAAATAAAAAGAAAAAAACAGAAAAAACAAAACAAATGGGAGAAAGGAGAAGGTTGGGTCGCGCCTAGTAATGGGCTTCGACCCGTTAAGGAATCAACTGACCCAAATATGTGGTCGGTCAATTTAACACAATGATGATGGGATTGCTTGGACTCAGGCTAGGGCAAAATCCCTGCTCGGCTTGTCGACGCTTGCAGCGGCGACACTTGCAAGTGTCGTTTCTCTTTTTGGAGGCGCTGCCATGGCCTCTATTCGTACCCCTCTTCGAGCACAAGGAAAAAATTCTTGATCTGGTTCTTCGGATCGGATGACGGTGGCGTCAGGGCGTCGCTCCCCCTCTTGAAGGCACCATCTTGCTTGCTCGCAGGGTCCCTGGTGTTGGCTTTGGAGACGATCGACACCTTGTCAGTTTCGACTTGCCCTCTATCTAGGATGGTGGTTTAGCTGTGTTTCTTTCTGTTTGGGCTGAGCATCCCTTTGTTTCGCTGCTCCGGGTGCCATGCCCACGCTTTCTCATGTATGTGTTCGTGTCATGTGTTCTATCTTCCTATGCACTCATTCTGCTCTTCTTTTATCATTGAAATGATACCCAAACTTTACGTATTCGCGGGAAAAAATTTAACGCAGCCCAAACACCTCAGAGAACCAACAAGAAATCCCTAATAAACCAACTAGAAAAAAATAACAGCACGAATAGCAAAGCAATATCAACGGCACACAAAATCGACTGGCCGAAAATAAAATTTCAGGCAACCTACATGCAGCTAAATTGGTTCTGTTTCTAGCGTTGTCGCTGCGTGCTCGGGCCTGCACACGGTGAGAACCTTCAGTCCTTCACCAGATGTGCGTGCGGAAAATATTTATACCGCCCATGGTCACGGGTGCATTCGTGTTGTGCGATACCGATCTCAGTGCGGCGCGTACACCCGGCACGAGAAGCTAGACCTGCGATCCCTCTTGCTACCCTTGTTCTTTGTTCTGTTTCCGTTCTTTTTTAAGCATCTTCAGCCATTCGGTCTTTCAGGATATCAAAAAAAAGCGGCCTAAAAGCGAGCCGGCGCTAGATCGGTTTCTGGAATTCGTTTCGCCCCAATCATGCCCCAGGTACCGCCCCCCAAGGCGCCCCATATTCGAAATCCATTGTTTCCGCTCAAAGAAACAATAAACAGGCGATCATCGCAATAGTTCGGCGATTCGATGCTACAGTTCGGCGATCAAATAAAAGGACAAGCAGTAGTTCGGCGTACAGAAAAGGAAGAACGCGGAAGGAGTACATCAAACGTCGAGCTCAACCTCCGGCGGCGTCGGCGGCGGCGTACGCGGGCTGGAAGGAGTCAGCGCGGCTTCCGGGCTGGTCGGCGCGGCTTCTGTGTTGCAGGGCGCGGCGGAGGCATCGTCGGGGGGGCTGGGCGTCGCAGAGGCATCGTCATCAGCCGCCGGGCTGGGCGGCGGCGTTGGCGGCGTCGGTATCTGATTCAGGATGAGGCCGCGCTCCACCAAAAACCACACCTTGAGCTTCTCGTCGCCGCTCTGGAGCATGTCAGCGCCACCCATCAAGAAGGCGAGGTCGTTGTTCCTTCTCTTCGCGTCTTGAGCTTTGAGTTTCGCGGCGGCGTTGGTCCGGAGCAAGTCGAGTTTGACGGCGCTGTTCGTCATCAAAACAACCCACCTCGCCTCAGTTTTCTCTTCTCGCTGAGCGGCCCTGGTCTTGGCGTCGGCGAGGCAGTGTTCGATGGACTCTTGCACGCGCGCGGCAGCCGACTCGGCGTATTTCGCCTTCTTGGCACCTTTGTTGCCGTCCAGGCGCCCGTCGGCTGCGCCCGTGGTCAGCGCGTCCGGCTTGTACGTCTCTTTCGCTTTGGCGAGGGTGCGTCCGACGGCCGCCCATTTCTCGCACTTGTCGATCCGCTTGAAGACGTGAAGGTACTTGAACTCTGCGTCGATGTTGTCATCGCGGAACATGGCGAGCATGCGTAGCAGCTGCGCAGAAGGAAAGAACATCAGTCGGCGTGCTGGGCACGCGCACGGCGGAAGGCAGCAGTAAGGACGGCGTGCGATACCTGATCTTCGACGCTGGTGCCGCTCTCCGGGCAAGCCGCGACCTCCTCGACGATCCCATGCCATTTGTTGCACGCCGTTTGGATAAGCCCCCAATGGTTCGCCATCGCCTTCGACCCACGCTTCATGTGCACGCTTTTAAAGTAGGGGTCGACGAGCTTCCGCTCGTCGAACTCGATCTTGATGCGGTCCCAATACGTCTCGATGCTCTAGTTCGTGCCCGTGACCGGGTCGAGGCGGACGACCTTCCACGCTTCGGCGAGGCACTCCTCTTCCTTGGACGCCCACTTGATGCGTGGCTCGCCGGGCTTGGCCGCCTTCTTCTTCTTCTTCTTCTTCTTCTTCTTCTTCTTCTTCTTCTTCTTCTTCTTCTTCTTCTTCTTGCCTTTCCTCTCGGCGCCGGTTCCTCCTCCTCCTCTTCCTCCTCCTCCGGCTCTTCCTCGCCGTAGTCGAGCTAGTCGTCCATGTCGCCGAGGTCAATCGAGCCGTCCTTGGTAGTGAACCCGGGGGAAGCGGCGGCGGCAGCCGAGCCGGCTGCGATGATGTCCTCCATGTCGGCCTCCGTCGCGTCGGCGTCACCGAGATGCGTCAAGATGTGTCTTCAGAGTATAGGACGCGGCGAAGAGGTGGCGTCGATGAGGCTGCGTAGTCCGGCGGCGAGTACGTGTACGGCCTGTAGTGCATGCCGGCGAACGCGGGCGAGGGCGTGCGCTGAACAGGGCGCCCATGGGGGAAGGTGATGTTGGAGTTGAAGCCACCATGGGCGTCCCCATCGGCATAGCCCGGCGACGACGTGCTCCATGGGTGCGGCGACGACGAGAACCCAGCCGGAGAGCCGACGCTTTGCTGGCTCCAGGCCGTGTACGAGTGCCCACCGGGTGGATTCATCATCGCCGCGCGTGCCGCCTCCGCTTGTTCCGCCGCCGCCGCAGCGCGCGCCGCTTTTTCCCTGGCCTTCTTGGCCCTGTTGCGCCTGTCGGCGGTGACGGCCTCTCGGCGCTCCACATCTGCCTTCCACTCGGCGTTGCTCATGCCGTGGGGCTTGGATAGCGGTGCCCTCGGCTTCCTTTGCTTCGGCTGGGCGGCGGCGGCTGTGGGATCCGTCGCGGCGTGCGACATCACATACTTCTTCGGCGGCATGGCGGGCGGAAGGATAGGGAGGAGGCGAGCGTTTTGGCGGAAGGAATGGAGAAGAGAGAGGAGCCTAGGGGGGGAAGCGGGAGAAAACGGCGGGAAAAGGGCTTCAGTCGCTGATAGAGTGGCCCCACGCCGCTTTTCGCGTGCGCCGGTGCGCCCAGGCGACACCCGGCCGCTTGGATTCGGGGCAGGATCGTCGGCTCTGTATTTGGCCCAAACCGGCGCTAAACGAGATCCTGAAGGCGCGATTGGGCCGATTTCGGTCACCGGCGCTAAAAATTCGCGTAGGGGGAGGGGCCTGTTGGGGACACGGCTGGAGATGCTCTTACATAGATCCTTAGGTCTTTTGGCCTTCAGTTTTGTTCGTGTATAGGTATAGCAGGGGCACTTCAGACAAATAGTACTGCGTTGCACGCACAGCAGAGCAGAGATGGTGTTGGTTTCTAAATAGAAGTACTACTCTGGTACGTACTTGGTAGGGGTCCGTCTAGACTGAAGCGTGGCTGTACTTACTGGTCACAGGCGCTGCAAATCTCGACGGATGTTTGAATGTGCAGGCCAATAATCTGGCCAAGACAAACAGGGAAAATGCCATTTGAAAATCTGTAGATGAAAAGAGGAATTGAGATGTTCAGGTTGCACAGGAAACATGGCAGCACTGATACATATATAGATACACTCATGTGATGACTGATGATTGATTTTCTGCCGCAAAGAAAGGATTGGTAAATCAGCAGGCACTTCAGTTGGGATCACGGGGAATAGATAGCCCGGACCCCGGAGGCGTTGCCCCAACTTATCAGCAGTAAAACATGACACGCTTCACGTTTTCCTTGAGCTCAGGCAGAGGCTTAACAGCAACATTCCCTGCAGCTCTACTGCCGCCGCGTGCACCAGGAGGGGCACGGCTTGTCGTGGCACCGCTCGCGACCGAGCCACCATCGGAGGTATCCGGTTCCATGTAGAACCGAGCTCGAAAAGCCGCGAGGTGAGCATAGTATGCCGGAGGCACTGCACATGAAACCAGTACACTGAGAATAATGCTATACAAGAAAGTCTGATGATTTTCAACATCAACTAGGTATAACCGAACGGAGGTTTTGATGCATCCTCTGCTTACCAATCGATACAGAACGGGTGCACCTTGCGTAGCTGCAACAATAGGGCAATTAACGGTCAAGTTTACTGGTCATAAGCATATAAAAGTCGGAACAGGATTAGCGTGACGGTAACTTACGTGTAACACAAATTGTTCGTGAGAGTCTGTAAACCATCCGCGGTAAAATTGTTCTCATCCCAAAGGACATGGTAATGCGCAGGGCGGCTTGTTCCCTGAAAGTAATGTAATGTAAGGTTAGATCAAGTCAATCCCATCAGATGAAGAATGCTCTCATTTCTACCTGTACAGAAAAACTCACCTGAATACCAGCATGGCTACAAAGGTAGAAATCGAACTCGGTAGGATGGCATATCTTTGAATCAACCACAGTACCTAATAAAATAAGATATAAGATGGTAACTAAAAGTTGACTCTGAGTTCAGTAATTGAGCTTTCATGCATGGAGTCGAGAAGCTACACAAAGCAAGTAAACTCGCTAACAAGGCAAACAACTCACCAGGCAGTATGTTTCCACTTTTTGTGTCAACACTTCGCTGATCGTTGTGGTTATTAGCAAATAGCCGTGTATGATGGCGCTTCTGGACCACCACAAAGGTAACAGGTGGCTGATAATTGGACTCCAAGGATGCGCACGCCTAGGTTTGTTAAACAGCAAAAATGTTCAGACTCCATGCAGATCTCATGCGACAATATTTAGAGAAAACACAACCTCACCTTTCTAATCGCATCAAGCTCATACAACAGAACCTGATAGAACTGTCCTTCGCTAACACCATCCCTGAAAAAAAAATGTGTGAGGTTCTATACAATAACGCCAATTGGACATGCTTAAATTAAGATAGTACCTATAGAATATGATCCTTTGGGGTTTCTGTCCAGTTGATCTATGAAAGGAAAGGAGAAGTTCTCTGCATAGTCAATAGAACATGTATATTTAGGTATTGATGAGGTGCAAGTGAACAAGATTCAGGTCTTAACTCCTAGCGACAGGCATTAATATGTATGTGTCCTCTGCGTGTTAAATTTGTAAAGTATTACACGCATACCGTTCAAACAATATTCAGGTGTTACAAGTGAACAAGATCATACCTAACCATTCCACCATTTACAGTCCCTCTCTGAGGATCTTGCCATACTTTAAAAAGATCTTGTATCAACTCCTGGCGACGGGTTTGTGCACTCACCAATCCAGCATATTTGGTGACCTCAGGCCAATCTTGAGAAGCAACAACCTGCATGAGCATAAAATCATTTACAAATCGTTGGGTGCCCAGCATGACGAGAACATGACAACAGTAAAACTGAAAAGCGGATGCTTGGCATTGAAAGAGCAAACTTTTGCCCAGAATATAAGTTTTACTACAAAATAATGCATGCATAATGATTTAAGATTAACATGTTATGCACCTACAGCTGCAATGGAAGGGCTAGAATCTTCTCCAGGATGAGGATGGGTAACATCAGCACCAAATATAATGGTTGGTCTGTCACTAACAAGGGGAATTCTCCTTGACAGAGCATCAACAAGTACAGTATTTCTCCCTCCCACCTAAAGAGTAAAGGAATGTGAACATCAAGTATAGAAAAGAGTAAAGGAATGTGAACATCAAGCATAGAAGGAACAGAACTACAAACACCAGGTTCGTAGTAGACAGAAGCCACAGAACAGGACAAACCTTAACATTGATTTTAAGGGCGACGTTTGCAAGATACTGCTGTGTCGTCTTAAAAACATGTTTCGTGAGACAGCATTGAGAGACCAATCCAAGATCTGTCTCGCATATTCTTTTGAGATTACCTGAGGGAATGATAAGAACAACACAGCGTCAGAAATTGATAAGAATAATAGTTAGTATTTGTATTACATAATACACTAGTTATCGTTTAATTAGAGGGCATACCATAAAGAGGACCATTATTGTCAGGCAAAATTGCAATGAGCAGGTCAAGCTCCCTGCCCAGTGGTTTCAGAATATTCATAGCATCTCGATAGTGTGCCCTGAGTGCTCTTTCTACATGCTCAGCTCTCGTACATAAAGGAGGAAGCAGAGGATCCTTTGAGAAGTCCTGTGGTGAGAGGATATGAAGCGTATGAGAAAGAGAACGTTAAAACAACTGAATGTAAATGAACATGTTGAAAAAAAATGTCTGGAGGCAGTGGATAATATAGACCTACCATTCCAGATATTTCGCACATGTCAGCCAGCTGACGACAGAAACTCCTGGCAGCACTATCTTGGACATTCCGAGCAAAGTTAATACATATCCACTCCTTAACTCTACCACCATTGACCATTTTCTACAACCAAATATTGGAAGCAAAAAATTGCATAGCATTTTCAAACAAATATTGGAAGAGATACACAGGAATACCGTTTATAATGAAGGATTTAAGAGCATACCTTATGCCTCATATTCCATTGGCCAATTCTTGGCAATACATCCTTCTCTCTGCCACTATCGTGGTACTTAAGCTAATAGATAAAAACAGTAATCAGACATCCAGGGAAAAGATGTAGCATATAAAATAGTGAGAGTTGAAAGATGTCAACCATGTGTTAAAACATTGAACTTACTCTAGGGGGAGGTAGGACTCGAGCTTCAACTGATGCAAGACGTTCATCAATCCTTATACCAAACTCCCGTGCATATGGATCCTCATGGTATGCGTTGTGATTCACCGTCTGGTAACCAGAACAAATCAAGAAACAGGTTCAACATGGAAGCCATTCTTGTTGTAGGAAGAGAATAAAACTGACTATGATTATATGCAAGAAAAATGATAAATACATGGTTATCTGTAGTGTTATACCACAAGGAGCAATTGACTCCCATCAAGCCACCTTAGCATGTGTACAATATAAGGCAACACCAGATTCTAGTTGCAATAACAAGTTATTGGACATGTTTTCAAATATCACTACCAAGTCCAAATTAGTGTAAGAAAAAGGAAAACCAGGTCCACTAGAGTAGATAAATGATAATAGGAAATTGGACGAGCTTATATACATAGTTGAAAGCATGTGTGGCTAAACCCAGAAACAGGCCATCGCTAAAAATAACAAAGAAATCCACATAATAATACAGTGAAACAGAAATAAATCAGTTTAAAATAGTTCACACCACAAAATGCGGCAAAGTTACCTGCAAAATGTCCAGCTCCCGCTGTTGGGGATGCTGGCAGGTCACCTTAAGAAGAGCAGTTATCTGCTTCTCATTCAGTCGTTTCGAGTAACGCTGTCCCTCAACAATCTTACATACCTTCAAGGTAAAAGGAGGCAACATATGATATGAAATGGATGTTTCTATAACTCTTTAACTCTATGTAGCATGCCGAATGTTTTTACTGTTCAATATGTTCGAAAAGTATGACACGAGATAATACAGGTTGTTTAGGATGCCAACCTCCATCGGAAGAAAATTCGGTCTCTGTTGGTTACCCACTTGCAAGCAAGGTAAAGTGGTGTGCTGAATGTTAAAACCATACGTCTCCTGGAAGTACTTCAATACTGTCTTAACAGTACCATGATCATCTATAGGGAAACTGTCACATGCCAAACCAAGAAAGGCAACAATCAAATTAACAGTGCGATGGACATAACAGAGGGTTCACATCTAGGTAAGTGAACTACATACGTTAATTCTCTTGTTGCTTGTGAGGTAAGACCAAATATACGATACTTTCTGCGCATATTGCCTCTATGTGTGACCTCAACCTTTACACCTCGTAGAGCCTTCTTGATCTGATCAGTGAAAAGGAAGGAAGCTTGTCAAGTAAAGAGTAAGCACAGAGCTACAAATTAAGCATGTACTTGAAAACATACGAGTAAAATATAAAACCATGTGATAATCGATAGAATAACATAACCTTCACACGGTCAGCATCTGATAATGGTCTGACTGAGACGTTTCTGTTCAAGAGTTGTGCAACGAAATCAATCACAGGAAGAGGCTCAATGAACGCTGTAGATGACATATCTGCAAAGCAAAAATGTCAAGCTATTTCAAGATGCTAGAGAAGACCAGATCAATTTAATGACACTATATGATTCATATCTTAGGACTGGACTGAACATGGAACAAAGGTTTACCCACCAAGCATGGCACATAAATACAACATCTAAGATTCAAGATTTCCAAAAATAAATATGCTCCTAATATTGGCTGCTATTTACCGAAAAAGGCTTTTGCCCCACTTTATATATAAAGAAAACCACCGCAGCCACAAAGTTCAACACAGGTCCACACACACACACAAAGGTAGCACGACAAATAGTACAGGAGTGTTCTGCTGAGGGCACAGCTCAACAAGCCCTGAAAATAAAAGACAAGGCGGTAGCAGATTATAAGGATATGGCCATATGGGCACGGGGCACGGGATGTCATATTGAGAGGGCAGTTCAAACTGTGAACAATTTTTCGATAGTGATGGATCCTATATTTTTTCTCTCAACATTATTAATCTATTGGAGCAAACATGGCTGATGTATCTGTGATTTGTGAAATTTACATACACTACCTACCAATCATCCTAGAAGCAAGAGGCCTGAGTAGGGAAATATTAGCGGATGGAAATTATAAACTTCATTGTAGCCAAAGCTATATTTACCAATAGCAATCCCCTTAAGTTATACTCCCCCCTTAACTTATTACGAAACAGAGGCAGTAATTCGCAAGAAGCAAGCAATAGTTATCAGTAGTCAACTGTTTCATCTACTACGAGTTATTCTTAAAATGGTCATTATTCTAAAGTGGAAACAATGATTGCTCGTCTCATAGTGGTACTATGGATTGTGAAGATAAAGAGTTGGGATCTAACCAATATTCAGTGAAAGTCCCATCTGTGTGGGCCGTATGCTCTGGTAAAAACCACGCCAACTTTCCAAGCCATCACCAAGTTGCTGGCGCCTCCCTAAGTTCGGTGAATAAAATGACCTGGCAACTGGGGAATACCTAAACATGAAAAGTGAAGAAATGTTCAACAGCCATGCTAAAACAATAGTATCATACATCCACATGGTGGGAAAAGATTACCTTGCAGTAGGTAATTCACGTAGAACAATGTCAAGCACTTGAATAGCTTCTTGAGGAGCATCTGGTTGCTTCCCAGCTAAAAACATAGCTAAATGATGGAGATCGGCACGCGCGGCAAATTTGATGGCGACCGTAAAATGTTTTTCGCGCCTTAAGGTAAGGAGATATATCAGCAAGGAACACAAACGTGTATCAGCTAATGGCTATGTCTACAATAGCAAACCTTTGTGCAACTTGCGCACCACCAAGTTTATCATCCTCATCCTGTAGAACAATATTAAAGGTCCTAGAAGTAAATGGCAACGGTCCAGCAGTATATAGGCTCTTCCTTCCATCATAGGCAGGAAGACGACCACCCAAAAGAGAATGTCTGAAGAGTGTTACAAGTTGTCCTATGACAGCACGATTGACACCACGGGAAGGAATGTCGGGAGTTATAGATACCTGGTGTGATATCAAATGAAAGCTCATGAGAGGAACATATTATATGTTCAAGAAGTTCTGCAAGAATGAGACCTTACATCATACTGGTGAAGATCTTTATCAGGCAATTCAGCAGAGAAATGATTTGCTTTCACGATGCACCTACTGCCAAATGTACCCTTGCCAGGCCGCATTGGAAATCTTACTGATTTAGTCGACGATGGTGCTGATTGGATACCTTGTCTAGAGGAACTTTGACCTGGGATATCAAGTTGCTGAAACTGTAACTGGACTTGTCCAGTGTTCATCTCAACATGTAGTGAGGATGAGCCAGTTTCGGGTGGTGAAGGTCTAAGCACCGGAACTTGGTTCTGGACTTGTGGAGCTTGGTGCAGTTCGGGAAGTGTTACTGATGGAGTAGCAGGAACTCCGCGTCCATGACTCCCACTCCTATGCCCATCATGGTATGGTTGTGGTGTTCCTCTTTGGCGTGGGGCACCATGGCCATAATACCCATGTGCTTGATACTTAACAGGACCACCAAATGGTTGATGTGATGCTGGATCCTGAAAATGTCCACCAGAACTCAGGTGTTGTCCACCACCACGACCACCTTGTTGAGAATATTGAGTATTGGCATGTAGCCGACCGCCACCTCCATGCTGTTGAGCTCTCTCAACCCGCTGTGATGGATCCTGACCAGGGGTTCTTGGAGCACTGCGAGTTTCAGTACTTCCCCGTGCGCTAGGGGGGGTATATCTTTTATTTTTCACCATAGTTAAAGCTGCAAGGTGAAGCAAATAGTTTTACTATTGATGTTGGTAACATAAACAATAACTAGCAGGCATAGAAAGATGAAGAATAAAGAGTATCAAGACAGATAACACAATGACCAAGCACAAACTAGAATAAAGAGAACGGGAAATGATTAGCATTTTGCGTAGAATTGAAGAGCACTACATGTGCTAAATATTATGGCCTAAACTGGAAGACAGGATTTGCAATTCTTTTCAGGCAGCAACGGGCAGAGTAACATATTCTTTATCAAAAGGAAAAACAAACTGAATCTTGTTGTCCAAAGCAAAACTAACAAAAAGAAACTTGTTTATATGCCATCAAACAGTGTCCACTTAAATCATACGCTACTGGAAATCCCTCAATTGCTTATGTTCCACTCAGCCACCGACTTTCTCGTTATTGCCAGTTCACTTTGTTAAAGTCCTCTGATACCTCAAGAAAAAGTTAAAGTCCTCAGTTAATTGGATCAATGCCCCCCTTTCCCCTCAGTGGTACATAAACAAGCTTAGTGTTGGTACTTCGTGGCATCGTGCTGCTACTGCCGTGTATCCTAATGTATTGACTTGCTCCTGCAGCTGTGTGCAAGCAGTGCTTGGTTGCAATTTTTCATGGAACTTTGTTTGCAATTTGAACATGGCAACTTCAAAACTCTTACATTTTTCTACGGAAACTTGAATGCATTGTGTTTTCAACATGACAACACGAAACCACCATGAAAACACAAAAAATTGCACATGGCAACACAAGCAAAACTGAATATAATCACAGCCTCATGACATTTTAACATGAGAGTTCAACATGAAAAATTACAGATTTCAGTACCAACATGGCAAATCTAAAAAATAAATTCTAGGATAATCATATCTGAATTTTCACATTACTAATTCCATACAGCACTTTATTGAAATCACGGTTAAGATCAAAACAAGTCCATAACATGGCTTATTCAACCGTGACAACGAACGAAATTTATTCTGCAGGTATGGAAAGGAAAAAAAAACTTGCCGTGGCGGCATAGCTGGGCGTTGGCCTTGCTGTTGAGGTCTGGGAGCACGCTCTCGCTGTCATGGCGGCCAAGCGCGACTTCGCTGGACAAGGCGTGAAGGCCGACGGCATGGGGTAGGGCAACGTGGAGCGGCGCCAATCGTTCCCCCGGCCGTGAAGGGAAGATGACGAATTGCTGGAGCGGCCGTCACGGTCTCTTGGGTTTTGGAGAGATGGGGCCGCCGCGAGGGGGCTCACCGGTCGCGCTGGCTGGGGTAGGAGCCGCCATGGCGGTGTGCACGGGTGGCAGAGGGGAGAATTTTGGAGACTGTTGACCAGGCGAGTGAATTTTTTTTATTTTATTTTTTTGGTCCGTTGGATTGACCACGCCCGTTGTAAAATCCAACGGCTGCGGTATCCTCTTCCTCCTCCTGACTTCAACAGTATCATTGGCAGCACTTCCGCATGCCGCCTTGCCGCCCCGTCCAGCTTGAATTGTCACCTTAGCCATATCGCCACCCCTGGCCTTCCTTGTGTATCGGGCACAACCAACTTTAACATCGATGCCCCCGTATATGTACCTCTTAAACCTTCGCCTCGCTTCCATCTAAGATGTCGCGTTTTGTGGCATCGGCGGCTCATCAATTTGACCGACACACTGAAAAAAATTCAGCGCATGGTAATAACAAACATGATTAATATTTGAGATTTGATCTTTTGCCCATTTTACTTTGACATTTTGCCTCCCATAACATTACATTTGCTCAACCTTTTTTTTATATTGAGCTCTTGGCTTTTTAGAATATTTTTTATTTATTTCACATTATGTGAACATTCTGGATTCAAAATTCGATGAGGTGCGTGCATAATAGTAAAACATTGTGAATCTTTGGGATTTGATCCTTTCCCCTAATTTTTACTTGGACGATTTGCTCTTTTTATATCTGATCTCTTGGCTTTTGAATATTTTTTATTCCTTTCACATTATGTGAGCATTTTGGATCAAAATTCGATGACCAAATACCCCTATGTAGGTTTTGTGGAGGTAGCTGATTCTCCTCCTCTTTATTTTGATGTCCCTTTTCTCCGCAACGGAGAAAGCAAATGACTTGTGCACAGTCACCCGCTCCTTATGGTTAAGCTCTTTCATGAAGTAGACATCCCTGATTCAACGAAACATGTCGCACGTAGTTGTCTCCATCGAAGTGGCTTGGTCTGTGCATCCCAGTTGTTATTGCTCTATCAGTCCTCGCCTAAGTCGCCACCTCACCAGGCATTGTTCTGCAAGTCGTTGTCTCCATGTAGTTTGTGTCTGCCCATTCACCACCTCAATGAATGTTGCCGCCTCGCCGCTCCAAGCCACATAGATACCCATCACACTGCCTCTATACAATTCACAGTTGCCCGGTCGCGGCACCCATGAACGTCGCTGCCTAGCTCGCCGTCCCACTGCTCCATCTCAGTGTGTCAGTTATTCATCATCATCAGAAATTATTCAGGAGTGGTGGGAAGGGAAACGAACAAGAAAAGGGAAGGGTGTAGTCAAGTAAATGGTGTTAGTGGTATATCGACATTTTGGGTGAGGCTAACCTGTTATGGGGAAAAATGCCGAAGTAAAGTTGGGCAGATTATCCATTGTAATGTATTGAGGGCAAATTGTCAAAGTGCAAAAGGATGAATAGTTGAAGATCACCCATGTATTTGGTGGTTTCGGCACAGGTGAAAGCATGAGCAATTGGTAGGGGTGTTATTTTTTTAAGAAAGGAGGGATTACCCCGACCTTAGCATCGAGCGATACATATAACCATATTTATTGCATCATTCAATAAGGTCTAACAAAATAAATACATAAATCAACCCAAAGCCATAGTTCTGACAAAAACTGTTGCCCTGCCTATAAAATCGATGATGTGCGCTGACAATTTATTGGTATGGGTGTTATGCAAAAGTTCTATGCCAGGGCTCCGCCTCCTCTTCCTCCTCCAAGAAAGAAAGTTAGGGTTCGTGCCTCTCGCCGGCGTCGGCACAGGTCCGCCTCGTCTCCGGTGGTCCTAGGGCCATGTAGGCGCGGTGGATCCTGACAAGGGCCGGCGGGAGGGCTCCGTTTTTAGTCGTTCTTTCAATCTTGCTAGGGTTTGTGTCCTACTCAGGAATGGAAGACGACGGCGGCTCGCTGAAGATGGAATAAAGGTCTCCCCGCCTAGCCCCCGTTCCGGTGGTGCGTTTAGCATCGTTGGTGGGCGTGTAGAGGTATGTCTTTGACAGATCTATCTTTGGTGAATTTGCTTGGATCTCATTGTTGTTCGTTTATGTCCGTGTGTCTTCGGTTTGGATCCTTTCGATCTACGTTATTTTTCATCGGCGGCGGTTGCTGTTCTGGGGTGCTGATCCTATGGGGTCTTAGCACGGCGATTTTCTGACTGTCTACTACAACAAGTTATGCCCGGCTCTAGCGATGGAGGGGCGATGACGACGGCGCGCCTTCCGCTCGCTTCGGTGCTTATAGTAGTCGCTAGGTGGTTTATGGTTCTGAATGTAATTTTTATTTCTAATGTTCGTTGTACTGTCATGATTGAAGATGGATAAATTAGAAGTTCTCCTGCAAAAAAAAAAAGTTATGTGTATTCTCCAATACTTTTCCCACTAAACAGGAGATAGTGACATGGATGGAGCACCAGCACCATAATTCATTTTGACCTGGGATTAGTTAAACTTGTTTTCAGCCGTAACTCTCTGGTGCGTGATCTGTTACGTCTTCGGCGAGTAGACGATAACATTAACACCGATGGAAACATTCGACGCGCTGCAGCGGTCAAAAACAGCCAGTACTAAGACCATTTTCAATAAATGGTTCAAACGTAAAAGTACCTAATTTTTGAATCGTCTCAAGCAAAAAACACTGCTCTAATAGACAGTTTATATGAAAAAAAATTAGATCGCGGTCTTTTCATGATGTAAAATATAACACCTTTTTTTTTGCGGGGAGTAAAATATAACACCTTGCGGTGTAAATTTACATTACATGGTGCATCTGGTCCAAAACCAACCGCCGCCCGCGAACACCCAACCGCCACTTCCTTTCCTTTCTCGCCCGCGCCTGTCCGCCCGTCCGAAGACCAGCCAGACAGAATCCGCCGTCGTGACCACGCAAAACCTCGCCGTCGGCGCCGCCACCACCCTACATCCTCGCCGCTGTCGCCCCCGTCGCCTCCCTCGCCGGTAGCCGGCTCGCAGCCGCCCGGACGCCGCCGAATCGGGAGGCAGCTGACGCGGGATTCGGCGCCTCCGGCGGTCCAGCTGCCGCGGTAGGCCTTCGTTGGGTCTTAGGCTGCCGCCGACCTCCTCCCCGCCGGCCGTGAGCTTGTCCACGGCTGTTGCCCCGGCCGCACGACGCCGCACCAAGCCCTCCACCCGGCTGTCGAACTATTCTTCGCCGCCCGCTGAGCTCTTCTTGGTCGGTCTCCAAGCTCATTTCTTATCACCGCCGCCGTCCGGAGCCGACCGCTGCCGTCAGCAGCAGCCGATCCAACCTGCAGCTGCTGGCTGATTTTGGACCATGAATTTGGACCATCTATTGGAATTGCTCTTGTGGACCATGATTTTGGGCCATCTGTTGGAGTTGGCCTTTTTTCAAAGCTCCAAAACGCACTTTTGACGGTTTAAATTTTATATCTTCGGTTTTGAATCGTCAAAATTTGAACCATTCATTGAAGATGCTCTAACTGATTACCTAATCCATCTCGCACGTCATTCATCTCAGGATCGGATAAAAGACAACATTCGCAAATCAGCTACTACTTGAAGAGACAGGAGATCAACAGCGTCCACGTATTGTTTGCAACCTCTGACAGTCTGACCATCCGTCAGAAGACGGAGCAAGAACAGCAGCACCCGGACAATCTCGTAGATACTCGTCGAGCGAAAACGACGCGGACAGTTTTACAAGCGTCAAGAAACGGATAGACGGAGGAAGCAGCAAATACTACTTGATCAT